GGCGGGCTAGAGAAATCAGGCAGGGTGCCCAAGTCAGGCGACCCCCACCCAGGCGGGCCAAACAAATCAGGCGGGGCGCCTAAGTCAGGCGACTCCCCGCCCAAGTTAGGCAGGCCCCACCTCTCAAGAAAGCATCGCCACTTAGGTGGTGAACACCACAATCAAGGCGAGCTTCAACCCACCAGGAGAGGCCGAACTCACATGCCAGGCGAGCTTCAACCCGCTAACAGCATCAACCTCGCAGGTGCCCCTCGCCCAGAGAACCAAGCAAGTCGAGCTCGCCACCAAGTGGTTGGAGCTCGCCCACACTCCCGACCCCACCTGTCAAGGCAGGGTCGCTCTGATCCAGCGCTAGGAGATTTACCTGAGTGTCTTCATGCTAGCTCTTCTGAGCCCTCGACATCCAATTGCACACCTAACCTCACTGACGCCGGGGGTCGCCACCTTCAACTGGGAGGATACCTTCGGGAGCACCTGACTCGCAAGCGCGCCATCCGTGAAGCTAGCTCTCAGTGCTATTGTGAGAGCCTCATCAAGACGGTGCTTGCCGGATGCCGATACATCAATGTGAAGAAGCCATCTGTCTTTTAGAGGCTCTTTCTGTAGTCAGAGCTGCCTCGCGGGAGATGGCGTCGCCAGAAGAAACGAGCCGTAGATGACCTTGAACTTCCAGCAGCCTCGGCCAACATGGCGGGGGAGGGGAAAGCCAAATACTCCGACTCTTCTGATCCGGAGTTCTCCTCAGGTTTTAGTTGCATTCCTATCGAGCCTGAGGGCGTGTACCAACGCACCCGAAGCCGGACTGGGGTAGCCATCCCTTTTGACTACTTTCACATGTCACCTATTTATGATCATGACGATGAAGCTTGCTCAGCTGAGGCGACATCCCAGACTTCTAGTTCGGCCTATGGCAAGCACGCTAAGGTGAACATGGTGGAAACGCCAGAGGATGCCACCAGGAGGCTCGAAGAGCAAATGGCCAGACAACAAGCTGCCATCGACTCTATGAAAGAGATGATGGAACAAATGTTGCTCAAAAAGAAGTCTCCTCGAAATCGGCGAAGAGCCCCGAGGAATAATATACGGGAGCTCACCTCCCCACACGTCACTAAAGAGGAGGATAATCAGGGGTCTTGTTCAAACTATTCCCACAAATCTTCAGGAGGAGCGTCACGGGCTGGCAGCACCCCTCGAGACAGGAGGTTCGACGAGTTCCAAAGCCAACTCAACGCCTGAAGCTCCAAAGGAATGCAAACGAGCTGGGGGTGGTCAGACCATACCCGATTGAATGGGACACGATCCCCTACCCGGCGAAGTTCAAACCAATGAGCTTGGTTCAGTTTGATGGCAAGGGATCCCCCTCGCAGCATGTGTACTATTTCCTGTCCTAAATAGGATTTCTCACCGGGAATGATGCAATTCTCACCCGGCTATTCATTAGCACCCTAAGAGGGGTGGCATTTGAGTGGTTTCGCAAGCAGGAGCCAGGCTCCATCAATTCATGGGCCGACGTGGAAAAGCTCTTCCTGGCCCGTTTCTTCGATGACGACACAAAGGTGTCAATGGCTACCCTGATGGCCGACAAGCAAAAGAAGAAGGATTCGGTTAATAACTTCTTTAAGAGATTCAGGAATCGGTCACTCTAGTGCCGGGACCAGGTCTCTCAAGGTACATTGATCGAGATGTATCGCAATAATCTCTCGATCAACATATTGTCCAAGATCGGCGCAGTAGAAACCCAAACTTGGAAAGAGCTTGTTCGCCAGGGCGAGCAGGTGGAAAACATGATCAAAAGGCTGGAAGCTGAAGAACCTCAACCCAAAAAGGGATCTTCTGAACCAACCTCATCTAGGAATCACCCTCGATCGAAGGGAAAGGAGATCATGGCCGTCAAGTCCACTCCGGCTCCATCCCCTAAGTCGGCTCAGAAGCAAAAAGCCAAGCCTTTCGAACAGCGCCCTCCGAAGCAATATGACTTCAAAGAAGATCAAGTCATGGCTACCTTAGAGACTCTCCTCCAGAGCAACCAGATCAAGCTACCAGAGATCACGAGGCCCGAGGACCTAGACAAAGCAAGCGACCCAAACTTTTGTGCGTACCACAAGTTTCTGGGTCATCCTACCTACAAGTGCTACATTCTCAAGGACAAACTCCAGCTTCTTTATGATGCAGGGGTCCTGAAGAAGGATACGGCGCAGAAGAAAGTGACTTCAAATATGATTACTCTCAAGTTCGGGACAGATCTCCCCGAGGTACGCACTCCAGCAGGAGTAGTGCCCATTCCCAAAGTGGTGTTGAAGATTACCAATACTGACCCTCATAATCAGCGAGAGAGAGGCTTGGTTCCACAAACGTTATCGTCGGGACAAGTGATGTGGGTCCATCCCGATCTCCTCGAAGACGAGCAGTGGACTTCCGAGCCATCAAGGAAGCCAAAAGGAAAAGCTAGGCCCTGCAATGTCATCTCCGTAATTCCTAAGGATGACAACACGAAGGTCACGACCCTCACGAATTCAGACAATGAGGTGGACGCCATGGTTACCAGAGCCGGGAGAGACTTTGCTAGGAATTACCCTTAGGCGACCGAAAATCTGGCAAGGCCCTCGGCAGAATCATCACCGGCGATCCAGCCAAATTTTGACCAGTCGAGGTCAAGCAATCAACCTTTTCGATTCGATCTGCTCACACAGCTGAAGAACATCCCGGCTAGGCTCACCATGTATGAATTTTTGCGGTTGTCCAAATCGACCCGAGAAGCTCTTCGAGAAGCTCTGGCCGACCCAGAAGTCTTTACCACATACTTTGCAACTCCTCTAGAAGAAGGAGCAGAAGTAGGATATTCGCAATGCTGCCATACGTCCAGACAACAGATCTCCTGCATCACTTTCACTCCGGAAGACATGCTCATCAAGAGCACATCTAACGATCGGCCCTTGTACTTCACAGGATACGTCGGCTCCTCTCGAGTAGACCATATTCAAGTGGATCCAGGGTGGGCATTGAGCATTGTGCCTTTGAACCTCATTAAACACTTAGGGGTACCTCAGAAGCGGTTGTCCACCACGACTACCACCATCTTTGGCTTCAACGCCACTGGGACCCAACCACTCGGGAAGATTCGCCTCAAATGCTAGTTGGCCGACATGAAAACAGAGGTGACCTGCTATGTCATCCATGCAGAACCCTCTTAAAACATGTTGCTGGGTCGTCCATGGATCCACAACAACCGGATTGTACCGTCCATACTACACCAATGTCTAAAGTATGTGGACGACTGTAACCAGGTCCAGATGGTGTTTGCTGATAGGCAGCCCTTCAAGGGGGTCAAGAACTACTTCACTGATTCTTTACTCTACCAGGACTCTGAATCAGATGACGAGCCCCCGTTCGAGGACCTTGGTAGTGGTAACGAAGCTGATAGTGAACCCGAGAGGTATGGGGGCCTTGTCTTGAATGACATCGAACTCATTATAATCGGCTACAAAGGCCTTGTTGTAACCAACGCTGATAAGGCGGACAAACTTATCCTGAATGAAGATCTCAAATTTGCTTATTTGTCGTCTAGTTCAGAGTCTAGTCATGACGAGTTCAGCAGCCTGATCTCAAGGCTGTCTAACACCTCCTCTCTACACTTGCCCGTGTATTCGTCGTTTGTCACGAACAGACAAGTGATCGAGTCCTCGCAAGCTGTCTTTGTCATACCTGCCCAAAATGTTTGTCAATAAGAAATCATCTTTGGAAGGATAGAACAGTCCATGCACACACCATGGGATGAATCAGAGGACGACGAAGCTGCTCCCTAATTCTCTGGCTACAGCCAAGTCGCAAAGCACATGATGGAGGAGATGGGTTATGACTTTGCCCGCAAAGAAGGCTTAAACTACGGCAAAGGTCGGAAGACACCAATTCGGCCCGCATATGTCCCTGAGGGAAAGCCTGACAATTACTACGATAAAACTCGAAGGGGGTTGGGTTACGAATCCTCTTCCTCAGAATTATACTTTGACATCAACGAGATATCAAACGACACCTGCTCAGATGATCAATCATCGACATCTTTGACTTAGGACTCAGATGTCAGCGTAGGAGATCTGTTCAAAGACCTCACAGTCAATATGGCTACAATTGATCCCGCCGAAATGAAAGAGGATGAGCAGATCCCGCTTTATGATGAATCTTGGGATCATCATGTCAACGCCCAATGGAGTGGTCGGTTTGAACAACGTGAACCACCCACAGAGGACAAGATACTTCAGGTTAATACGGGAGATGAGGCCAACCCTAAACCCATATTCATTATCAATGACTTACCTCCCCAGAAGAAGGAAGACCTCATGTCCCTCATACGAGAATACATCGACGTCTTCGCGTGGAATTACGAGGACATGCCTGGTCTTGACCCTCAGATTGCCATGCATCGCCTCAACGTCAATCCCGACACCAAACCTGTCAAGCAATAGCAGAGGCGGTTTCATCCATAGATCATGGAGGCGATCGAAACCGAAGTGAAAAAGCTGATCGAACCAGGCTTCATCAGAGAGGAACAACACCCCGATTGGGTGGCTAACATTGTTCCGATCCTAAAGAAGAATGTAAAGGTCCGTATCTGCATTGATTTCAGAGATCTCAATACCGCTTGTCCCAAGGATGAATTCCCTTTGCCCATCACGGATGTTATTATTAACAACACATGCGGGTTTGAAAGGATGTCCTTCATGGATGGGTTCTCGGGGTATAATCAGATCAAGATGCACCCTGAGGATAAGAAGCACACTTCATTCAGAACTCCAATGGGGGTATATTGTTACACAGTCATGCCTTTCGGACTCAAGAATGCTGACGCAACTTATCAACACGCCATGACCATAATTTTCCAAGAACATCTACGAAAGACAATCGAATGCTACGTGGATGACCTAGTAGTGAAGAGTCGCAGCAAAGACGATCACCTTCAAGATCTGAGAGTGATGTTCGACCTCATGTGATCGCATCAACTAAAGATGAACCCTACGAAATCATTCTTGGGGATGTCGAGCGGCAAGTTCCTCGGCTTTGTTGTCACGACAAAGGGGATTCACATCGATCCCGACAAAGTCCAAGCTATCCAAGAGCTCCGAGCTCCCAAGAATCTTAAGGAATTGAGAGGACTGCAAGGACGTCTAGCTTACATCCGAAGGTTCATCGCAAACCTTTCGGGTAAATGTGAACCCTTCTCCAAGCTGATGAAGAAATGTGTTTCCTTCATATGGGATGAGCCTTGCCAACGAGCATTCGATGAGATCAAGAACTATCTCTCGAATCCGCCTGTTTTAGCGGCCCCCATTTCAGGGAAACCCTTCCTAATCTACATTCGGGCGATGGAGCATTCTCTCGGCGCCCTCCTAGCATAGAATGACGAAGTCGGGCATGAGCAAGGCATCTATTACCTGAGTAGAACCTTGCAAGGAGCCGAACGACGATACCCTATGCTCGAGAAGGAATGTCTGGCCCTGGTGTTTGCTATCCAAAAGATGCGACACTACTTGGTTGGTCAAACCATTCATGTCATCTCCCGAATGAATCCTATCCGAGTCTTCATGACACAGCCCGAGTCTCTAAACTGGCATCTGGCGAGATGGGCACTTTTGTTGTCCTAATATGATATCCACTTTATGCCACAGAAGTCTGTCAAAGGACAAGCAATTTGCGACCTCATGGCCAGTCATCTGCTTGAGTCGAAGGCTGACCTATTCAAAGATATACCAGATGAGACCCACGAAGTCAACACGACCTCGCAGGAAGAAGTTTGGCGACTTTACTTCGATGGTGCATCCTGGGTAGGCACCAGTAGGTCTATTGCCGCAGGTGTGGGAGTGGTCTTGGTCTCTCCACAGAACCACATCCTACCCCGATCCTTCTCCTTAACCGAGCCATGTACCAACAACGTGGCTGAATACAATGCACTGCTCATCGGACTTGACTTCGCCAAGGAGTTGGGGGTGAAACACCTTGAGGCTTATGGTGACTCTCAGCTCATCGTCAGGCAGATGACAGAGGAATATGAAGTTAGAAATGACGACCTAATCCCATGTCACCAAGAGGCTATCAAACTAGCCAGATCATTTGACAGCTTCCGCATTGAGCATGTACTTCGCTCCAAGAACACACATGCAGATGCTTTGGCATCATTGGCAGCTAACCTAGCCCAGC